GTGTGTGTGTGTGTGTGTGTGTGTGTGTGTGTAAGTTTACATACATATACTTATATGTAAAGCTTGGTTATCAAATCCTTATTGATATCTGTCGATTCGTTTTTGTATGTTCCCTAAGCACAGAAAACCTTAAAAGACAGTGACAAACGTGAGCTTGTCTATTTTATTTCACAACAGAGAAATCCATACAACCTCTCTGTACCTAAACATTAATGTGTTATCCTTGTAGTTGGGTGCCATCAAGCCAAGTCTGACTCATCACACCCAAACCAAACCCACTGCCACCACGAGTCGATGTCTTCTCACAGAGACCCTATCATAGGACAGGGTAGCACTGCCCCTGTGGGTCTCGGAGACTGGAACTCTTTAGAGAAGTAGAAAGTCTCATCTTTCTCTAGAGAAGTGGCTGGTAGTTTCAATTGCTCGCCTCACCAACGAGCTACTAGTTGTCTATTTGTTCCAGTTGGTGCTAGTGGAAGAAATGAAAACTGACTAGGCTTTAAGTAAAGCAGCTCTTCATAGATAATTTGGTCTCAAACATTCTCTTTCAAAACTTTTTTTTGTAGTTTGGGTGAAAGATTACAGAGCAAATTAGTTTTCCTTTCAACAATTCATACACGTTTTATCTCAAGACGTGGACTGCAGTCCCTCTAAGCTAACAAAGCTCTCCCACTTCTAGTTTCCATTTGTCCTTTCCTGCCCCTTCCTGCCTGGTGTCATTGCTCACTTCTTGGGCCTGTCTTATTCCACAACATTCTTCTAACACGTAGGGGACTTGTCCCAGTAACCACAGAGTGAGGTAGCTAACAAGCGCTTAGAAAACATTTCCTATGATTAATGGACTACAGACGAAAAGCAAACAAATTTGTTTGCGAGTGGTAGAGAGGGGAAATGAGAGAAAGCCTGAGAGAGAGAGAGAGACATCCTCTCTCAGCGAGCACAGCGAGCTAACTCGCTTGGTGACTTTCTGGCTAGGTTGATAGGTGAAACGCTGCAGAGCTGGCTGACATGGAAGCCACTGTCCTCACAAAGATGTGCAGCAGGTCTCCAGCCTCAAGGAAGGAAGTCCTTCTCATCGGAGGTATCAGCAAATAGCTCTGCTAGGTGATCACAATGTCTCCAGAGATGAAAACCACGCCCCCGGGTGTGTGAGGATCCCCCTCAAGGGGCAAGGGGACAGGCAGCAGCCTGACACCAAAAGGCACGGCATCCCTGACACTTGTGTCAAATGCCCTGAGGACCAGTGGGGACTGGCCCTTTGCTGTGCCAGCTGCAGGACTCTCTCTAGTCAGTTCAAGCAGATGATTCGGTTGATGTGACTGAAATACAAGTCAAGGATGTAGATACAAGGACAAAGAATGAGGCAGAAAACGAAAAAGCTATTCAACTAGATGAATTCGTGTACCTCAAATAAGAGGACTTTAGAAAGAAGTGTGAATGCTTGCCTTTTGAATAGAAGTTAACATAATAAAAAAAACTATCAGTACTGTGTGCAAAAACAAATACATTTCCCCCCTAAGGGAACTTATTTCAAATGCTGATATGTGAAATAGGATAAAGCTATAACTATTTACTGAAGGAAAAAAAAAGGTTTTTAAAAAAAAGACCTGTTACAAGGAAAAGGCATTGCTGTATATCAGACCGGAAGAATGAGCTAAATTCTTATCCTAGCAAAACCTGGACATTTTATAATAAAGTCAGTGAAGACAGTCAACTTCCTCCCAGTATTTGGGGCTAGGCTGATAGTTGGTCTCTGTGCTGCTTACCTGCTAGCAGGTAAGGTGGTACTCAGCACACCTGGGAACTCAACACCGTCAGTTCTCTGTGAGTGCTGACTCAGGAGGAAACACTTGGAAAGGGAGACCCACAAGAATCTGTATTTAAGGGAGACCGGGATTAACTGCAACCTTTTTGGTAGGAGAGGGGAAACAGCTAATGATCCTAAATGGGATACAATTTTAAAATCTTGTCAGAAAGATAAGTCACGAACACTTTACATTAGTGGTTCTCAACCTTCCTAACGGCGCGACCGTTTAATACAGTTCCTCATGTTGTGGTGACCTCCAACCATAAAATTATTTTCGTTGCTACTTCATAACTGTCATTTTGCTACTGTTAGGAATTGGGTGGCCCCTGTGAAAGGGTCATTTGACCCCCAAAGGGGTTTCAACCCACAGGTTGAGAACCACTGCCATGTTGGGCCAGTTATTAATGTGGAATCTTTCTGCTCCAAACCTGCCCTTTGCCTGGTCTGAGGTGCCAGGTCCATTGGGATGACTTCCTGGCTGGCTGGCACTCACTATGGAAAGCTTTGTCAGTAGGGCGCACTGGAGGGACCAAGGAGGAGGTAGAGAGCCCTTTGTTTTCAGCTGCCAGTGGGCTCCCGGCTCTGCAACAGAGTAACCACTAGTGAATCTCAGGAAAACAGTACCACCTGGGTATTTCATGGGCAGCATCTGCTAGAGGTCTGGAGCTCTCAGCCACAGCACTTTCCCATGGACAGCTTCCCTCGGCACCCAAGAGAATGGGCTTTCCAGTTAGACTGTTGGCAGGACTCCCTCAGGCAGCTCTGCAGCCTCAGAGAACCTCACCACTCAGAGAGCTGAGTCTCAGCCGTGTGTGTGTGTGTGTGTGTGTGTGTGTGTGTGTGTGTGTGTGTGTGTAAATGGCTCTCTCCTGGTCTCATTCTTTTAAAGGCTCCCTCTCCATCCTTGGGTAGTGAGTACTCCCCATATCAGCTGTTGCTGTATTCCTCTTTATGAGCCCATCTCCCATTATAGTTCATGCTTTTTTATACTAAAGTTAGCCAAGTCAAATTACCATGTGATTTCTGCCTTTAGATTATACCTTGACTAGTTAACTGTATAGTACAGAGCCTTAAAATGCTAGAAGAATCTAGAAATACAGGAAAGGGAGCTATCACCAATCCCTAAGGCTGGAGAAGTTGAAGACTGTCTGGGAATGGGAATTCATGAATGCTGGCAAACCAACTTGGCAGGAAGAATCTGAAGAAATGGCTGAAGGAAAGAAGCAAGACACGGAAGACCACAGACTGTACAATTCCAGTGACATGAAATGTCCAGAAAAGGCAAGCCTGTGCAGGCAGCAGAGGCCTGGGGCTCGGGACAGGAAGGGGCGAATTATAAACGGGCTGAGATGTTCACTAAAACAGGAAGAAGGCAACCCCTGTACAGCTTGGCAATGTCCTGAAAACCATCACATTGCACTCGAAATGGGTACAATTGTACCTCAGGGGAAAAAATTTGAAGAAAGATATTGATGAATACAAAGCTTTCTATGAATAATTTTCAAAGGAAAGTTATCACAAAAAGGTTTATAAATTAAGTAATTTTAATGCTACTTTCTTCACAAAAACTTCAGCTCCGTAGTCTCCTTGATGAACTGCATGCCCCAAACGCAAGGCACTGGCCGAGCCCAGCTCCGAGCCACTCTAAATAGGCCAGAGAGGACCTGCCCCTCTGAGTTTCCAAGGCTGTGAAGCTTTACTTGATAAATTATCCTGAGTGATTACATTAAACTAAATGTATGCAGAACACCGGCCACAGACTATGTCTATAATATGATGCTTAAATACGCTACCTTTTCAAAGGTCCTAGCCCTGGTGGTGCAGTGCTGGCTGCTACCCAAAAGGCTGGTGGTTCAAACCCACCAGTCATCCCACAGGAGGACGATGTGGCAGTCTGTCTTTGTAAGGATTACAGCCATGGAAACCTGACAGGGCAGTTTCTACTCTGTCCTTCAGGGTCGCTAGGACTCAGAACTGACTTGACCACAATGGGTTTGGGGAATGGCCTTCCTCTTACACTATCCCATGAGAGTCCTGAATAGCATAAACCATTTAAGGTGATCAAAAAGAAACTATGGTTATACCAACTGCTCTGAAAAGGCCCACATTAGAACATCTTGGATAGAGTAGGAGAAAATGTGAAAGAGAACTTAAAATCATAAAAGAAACCAGGCTTACTGGTCGGACAAAAACTGGTAGAACACCCAAGACTGTGGCCCTTGGTTATCCTTCAGGCCTGCAATTGAACTCACCCTGTGTTAGGAAAACCAACCATGAAGATTAAAAAGGGAGCATTTACCCAAGGACAAAGTTCAGGAGGGCTAGGAAAGAAAGAGGAAGGCAAACAGGAGACAGAGAGGAGGTGGGGACGTGAGGATACACTGAGGGCACACTGCAATGGACGAGATGAAACAGAGTGGACGTCAACTGCTGAATGTGAACCTGATGATCTGCTCGGTGACCCTTCACCTGATTCGCAAAGTTAAAAACAAAACTATTATAGATATGATCAAGAAGGTGGGTTAATGAGAAGTATCATTATACTTTCGAGGCTACATTTAGTAAGAGTAGTGAACTTGTTGTGATGGAGAGCAGAATACAGCAAAGCCATCTAGAGAAGAGAAAGAAGAATTATAAAGTAGACTTTCATAACTGGGAGACTGTACGCACAAAGAACTAATATTTTCAGTCATTACTTTTGAGAGAGCCTTGTTTGGATTGAATCTCAGAAAAAGTAGTTTTGCAGTTGGAAACCTCTTTTAAATTCTTGGTATAAAACCTGTTCTGTGTATAAAAAAATTTAAAGCACCCAAAATAGGAGAGAAGGCTGCTAGGAAGGCTGCATAAAGGTAAGCCTCCTGGCTACAGCAGTGTTGATGCTCTCATAGAGCCTGATGATCATTCAATGCACCAGCAAAGGGTGGTGGCTGAAAACACGGTCAAAATCAGATAAAGGGAGATAGGATCATTTTTCCTCTCAAGTATTAGGATAAGTCGCAACAGGAGTAGAGAACAGGGTACCCAAATACTTTTACTTCTTTATGTCATGATCTAATTTGATATAATTTTTCAAATTCTAGTGGCTGACAATATTAACAGTAAGAACTGTTTAATAAAAATGTGTGAGTTTAAATAGAAAACTGCTACTTTCTTTCACTTACCCTCACCCATAGATAGCCTACTTGTTTGGGTCAGGAGGCATTCCGGAAGTCCGCACTGCCAGCAGAAATCCCAGTTGCACACTAAATAGCTGGCAGGGATGACTTTCTGAATGTTGCTTCTATAAACTCAGAACCCTAAAGAGACTCTAAGCTTATCAGTGTATTCTACTCTTGGCTGAGCGATTTTTATAGCTTAGCTGTAAATTTGAACTAAAATTCTTCAACAGACCATCTGTTTCTAAGCATCCTATCCACCACATTCACCACTTAGTCTACAATGACCACTGCGGGGAAGAATCAACAAGGATATGCTCCGTGGGGAGGGCTGTGTGGGTCTTTTGAGGAGAGAGAAGACAAGTGTCTCAATGACAGCCTGCTTGTTAATGGACTGAAGTCGTTTTTCCCAACTTCTCCAGACCCCATAGTCCTCATCCCAGGGACAGATGCCACAACGTAATTACATACGTACAAAAGCTGGTGCAAACATTCACACACATGCACATATGAGCACACTCACGCGTCCAGCACAGGCTACCTGAAAACATCGAAGCCATTGACACTGAGAGCCCGTTCTTGGACATGTGAGTCAGGTTAGATCCTTCGCTACCATCTGCGTGATAATGATTATAAGAGGAGGCCCTTTAGTGTTCAGTCAGGAAGCAAATCAAGGAGATTGACAGTCCTACACCACACGCTCCTGGGATCCAGACTGACTTCTGCTCCGGTTAGGGACACCCATCCACAGGTCACTACAGCTTGGCAGAGTGCTTGCTACTTCCTCAGTCTCACCTTGAAGACCTCCTAAAGCAGTGATCCTGGAGCAGAGGTGATTTTGTTCCCCCCAGGACTTCTGGCAACATGTGCAGACATTTTTGGTTGTCACTCTTGGGGAGGTTGCTACAAAGAATCATCCAGCCCAGAAGCTGAGAAACCCTGCCCTCGGGTCTCTTCCTTGAAGGACTTCTGTGCTGGCTGAAGAGGTCCTTGACCACCTCAGTACTCCAGGCCCCCAACTGCAGCAACAGTTTCCAACTGGAGAAGGCTCCTTCCAGAATGGATAGACTCCCTGCCGCACAGGAAGTCAGGGGGGCTGCTTCACCCCAACAAAGCAGCAGGCTCTGAATTTACATTAGCATTCTTCTCTCAAAATTCTGACTGCCAGCTTTCCTTCTTCTCATTTCAAGAGCAAGTCAATTACAAAAGGAAAAAAAACCAAAAACTGGAGTTTTAAGTTAACTACCTGATTGTCATGAATGAAAATCAGACCCCATGAAGGAGGCTTTCTGAGGACCTGGAAAAATATGTATAAAAATGGAATCTCTGGATGGAGAAGGGATCCAGCACTAAGCCTGGAGATGTCTATGGGTGTTCGTCAGATTGGCATCGACAGGAAGCCAAGGCCTCATGTAATGAAGAGCTATTCACCACCGTGTTACCATGGAGAATTAGAGCTGAACTTCATCTCTGGAAGGAAAAACGCTTGGTTTTACCCAGAAGGCAAGACCTCATGCCCCAGAGCTGTTATGTGCTTGTGAGTTTGTTTCTTTCAATGACGAGTGATTTGAACTCTTAACTTGATGACATATAATAGCCTCCCCAGATTAGAGCCGCTCCCTTTCCTCTGCACATGCTTCTAACAAGAGTGTAGGATTTTGGGGGGCAAGTTAGCACTCACTGGACAAATAATAAAGCTCTACTTTGTACACTTCATTGTTTACCACCACCACCAATGACTCTTTTTGTCCCTTTTCCCTCAGAATTCCAATATAGCTCCTTTGGGAGCATCTCAAAAGCATTCCAGTTGTCTTACAGAACACAAGAGACGAGGACTCTAATTTCATGTAGGTCTGGGCCAGCCCTTAGCTACAGGAGGAGGGATTCAAGTGAGAACTCAGGTGAAAGATGCTGCTTGAGAGGAGAAGAGAACAAAAACACAAGGGTGACTTCAACAGCCAGCCTTCTCCACCTGCCCCAAACTGCTTCCTCTCAGTTTTCTTTCCTGCAGCCATATTAAAAGGTTTTTGTTGTTTCTTGGCAACACAATAGACAACAATGTTCCAAAATGGACCATAACGAAGATCCTTAGTTAGGGAAAGTTTCTTAGCCTGTGATCCCCTAATGGAAAGCTCTCGTGTAACCAAGTGTCACGTCTTACCTTGGATTTCAAATTCATCGACCTCATCTGCAGAGCCAGAGTCGGAGAACTGTGTGGAATCACGTGAACTGAACTGGGAGCTGCTGGAAGTGACCCGAAAGCCTGTTGGGTGGAAGGGGACGAGTAAGAGAGGGGAGACAGAGGTCTCTTAGTCCTTCCATAAAAGGAACCTGTAGGGCCTCACAGCGAGAAGCTGGTAGAACCATGGCTGGTGATGTGGAAACGGGGCTCTTCTTACTGAGGTATCCCCCCCGCTGGCAAGTTTCATGTAAACAGAAGGCATTCCTACCTAGGGCCAGGGGCCTCAGTTCCATATCAGAACTCTATTCGAAAAGAAGTCGCTTGGCGCTAAGAAATAGACATGTTCTAGAACCAGCACTCCTAGTCTGCCGAGGAAAATGAAATCAGAACAACATAGAAATCTCCTCCTGACAGCAGCGGAGTCCCTGGGCCGAGGAAGAATTCCTCACAAGAAGACAAGACACAAAAGCCCGGAAGGCACTGCTCCTCAGCTTGACGCCTGAACAAGTGGACGCAGCCGGTGCTCACAGACTCCACTCACTTCCACTCTCTGTCTCTTGGTACCCAGGGAGCAGGTGCTTGGTGCGGATCTGCTGGCGACGGAGGCGAATCTTCTGCTTCAGTTCCTGGATCTCTCGGTCGCTGTCTTCCTCCTCCGCGTCCTCCTCCAGGCACTGGCTCATCATGTTGCACTTCATGAGCTCAATGGCAGCAATCAAGGACTCTGAGATGCTGAAGTGGGCATTCTCCTGGGGGAAGGGAAACACCCAAAAAGGGCACTTGGCAAAGGTCTCGGAGTCAAGAATGTGTCGCCGGTTAGAATGCCGGGAAGTGAAGCCCCTTTGATTCACAGCACCCGGGGCAAAGGCACACTTCTGTCATAAGGGATGCTGATGGCCAGGACATCTGTTCGAGTCCCCTCCTCTCCCCCTTTCTTCATAAAATACGAAAGAGAAGCCGCCCAGGATGTTCTATCAGAATCTGGACAAAGTTAGACACCTGTACACACAGTACTAATTAAATGTGGTGCTTCACAATAAAATGCTTTGCAAACTATAAAATGCCACGTGCGTGTTATTTATTACATAACACAGAAGGTGAGTCGGGAATACTATTCCCTCACGCGTCCCCATTCTAGGGGACAATAATCACATGGCTAAGATCCAGTACCTCACTGCCCAAGGTAGTTTCTGAGACAAAATCAGTACCAACATTTCTGGATTCAATGAGGTGCGCACACTCCCTCAGAGACAGACCTTGTTGAACGCCGTTACTGAGGTCCAGACCCGGGTCACTGTTGTGTCCCCGAAACCTCATCAGGGTGAACACCACTGTCCCCCCCAGGCTAGACCTCTCACCTCTTGGTGTCCTCATGAACCCCTTTCCCTTGCTCACCTTTTCCAGGTCTGCACAGCTGCCGAAGTCCTGCTCCGAGAGGTAGCTGAGGAGGGACTGCCCTTCCGACGGCTGTCGGAACATGCCTTCCCCCGAGCACAGGGGCCGACCCCCTTCTGTGGGGACATGAAACTATGTGAAAAGCTCTGCGTTGGGACGCAGCTCTCTAACAGTCAAGCTTCTCCGAGGGTCTGAGGCTTTTACCACTCCAGATGCACCCCAGGCTTCCCAGATTAACGGGGAAATAAAGATGGAAAAGCCGTTTTCTAAAGACATGTATCTGAGTCTCAAATACCAGGGCACTGAACCCCTGGGTTAGAAAATGGTGGAATGAAATGGAGAGAGCCAGGCCTTTGGTGGGGACAAGAGAGAATCGTTTCACCACTTAAGTTTACAGAAGACACACTCTCCCTTCTACTCTAGGGGGAGGGTGGGGACCTTTAGCTTAAGAGTCAGAAGAGAACACAAACGGCCTTCTACCCTGGGTGATTTCAGTGTGGAGTTTGTCCTCTGGTGACTGAGCCCAGCCAATCAAAGGTCTCTATCCCTCTACACAGGGCCATTCCATCTGGATCAACAGACGTACATGGTGATCGTACCAACAGCATAGGAGAGGGTGAGACCACTAGGTCGGAGTAGCGCAATAGAAATGGCCGATGAGCTTGGCTTCTAGCACAGGGTGAAAATGATGAAAGGGAGGGAGGGTGAGATTGTACGGTGTGCACCCACCACAGAGCTGAGACGAGCCACAGAGCTCGGAGCGCAGCAGGCAAAGGGGAACGCAGAGAAGAGACTCCCGGCTCCGGCCTCCTGGCACTAAGCTCACTTACCATACTCCATGTACAGCGAGCTGGGTGTGCTGACTTCGCTGCTTTGCCCAGAGTAGGGCACGGAGCCTCTTAACCTCGACTTATCATTGCAGGACTCTAGGATCAGTGAGCGTCAGGAGTAAAAACAAACAGACCAGGTGAGCAACAGAGACAGTCCCACCTTTAGAGTTTCCACATTGAACTGTTCCCATGCCAGTGCCCTCACAAACAGGAGAGGGGCAGCATACCAACAAGGGGCAGCCCGACAATGCAGGGGACACGTGGGGGAAGGGAAGGGAAGAGAGAAGGTGCAGAATGCACAGCTCGAAGGTAGAAACAATCCAATGGAGATGGGTTCATGAATGTAGTCCCGTTCTCCTCTCTTCTTACCAAAGGTTCTGCCAATTTCTACCCTCTTGACAATCCAATTTAGAAAACCGTCCACAGGTGAAAATGTTCTCGACACCTTCAGACTAGATTTTATAGGTCTTGTTTGGTTTTGACGCTAGGTATCAGAGTAGGATCAGACGATGTACGCTGTTACATTCACTGAAAAAAATACTAAAATATGGCCTCTTGGGAAGCCGAGGACAATGGCTGTAACTTGAGAGACCAAGGGCTCAGCTCTAGGGCTCTGGGTAAGGCCTTACCAGAGAAGGAAGGGAGAGGTTTCAAGAGAAGGCGGTCATGGTAGGAGGCACTAGGGTAAAAGTTTTCAAGGAATAGAGAGAATTGGCCGTGGGAAAACAGCAGCAGGCAGGGCTCTGAGGAAATGAGAAACGGGTATTTTCCAAAGGAGAACACAGAGTTTTCCAGTACCACAGAAGGAAGAGCAGGTGGGAAGGCAGGTTGGGGGCTGAGAAATGAGCAGGATGCGCGGGGAGCATGAAGGAGTCACATCCAATCCATCTCCCTGCCAGCTGCTCCTCTTGCCAAGAAATTGCTCTGTGGTAAGAGACGCTCCCCCACCAGAACCACCAGGGCTCCTTGTGCCTCAGACAGCGTGCTTCTACTCGCCAGAAATTTGTCTACCTCCTTTAATAACAACGAAGTTCTTCTACACGATGGTCTGACTTTAAGAACAAGACTCTTCTCAACAGAGGCTCGGCAGACTTTATTTCTCTTGATGCTTCTCCTTCGCAAGCTAACATACTCAGTTGGCTTCACTTATTCCCAGGAGGCACTGGCTGCTCAGCCCTCTCCCACTGGTCTGTCTTGTTGACACCTTCGAGTATTGATAGATTGAGTAGAACGAAATACACAGTTTAAGTTCTACAGCGAGAGCCAAGTAAAGACTCGAGTCACTAGAAAAATACTGCGAAGTGGCTGGAGTCCTGTGGAGCAGGAGGGGGTGTGAAAAGGGAAGTAAGACAGGTGAAGGAAATAGAAATGGGGACTCCAGGAGAGGCCATGCACCTAGATCGAAGACCACAGAATGGGGAGACAACACATTCTGGTGCTAATTCAAGGAAAATGAAGTCATTCAACAGTAAGTAGTCAGCTATTCAAAAAAAAAAATCATCCACTGATTCATCGTGATGCCTTCCTTAGACAAGTAGTAGGCCTCCAGGTGGGCTCTGGGCTAAAGAGCTCTGCCGTCCGGAAGCTGCTGGGGGTGGAGTCAGGCATTTGGAAGTTACGGGCAGAAAACCTATCATCAGGCAAAGCATGCTGATGGCATTCCACAAACCGGTTCAAGCACCACAGCAGGACAGACGAGCCAGACTTGATTTGACACCAGAATGGAAAAAGGGGTTCTGAGGGATGCACGATAGTGACAGGGGAGCAGAGGGACGAGGAGGCGGTGGAGGACAAAGGAGGAGGACTGGCTCCCAAACCTGCAATGGGATCTTCAACTATAATGGTGATATTCCTGGGGCCACCTGCAGGTAGACAGACAGGTGCAGAGGAGAGTTCAGACAGCAAACAAGAACGGAGAGAGAGAGTGAGAGAGAGTCTTTTTACCTACCAGAGGTGGGGTCCTAACTGGGGGACCCTTGCGCTGAAGGACAATAGCTTAAAGCTTTGCATGACCCACATCCCCTCACGCATCTACACAGGTTTCCTCTGGCTCCCTGTCCCAATGCAGGTGACGGGGTTTCTGGAATCCACGTGGACTGACTCAAGAACGGGGGCAGGGAGTCCTACATGCTCGAGGGCCAGTGGCCTGAAGCACACTAGAGACCAGGCCTGCAGCAGATGGGAAGCGAGGATCGAACCAAGCACCCTTCACATTTAAGGCCGCTGCTGGGAAGACAGGCTTTGAGTTGGAGGGTTTTTTTTCTGAAACCATTCTACTAAGTCAACCCAGATTCTTGGGGACAGAAGGTTTCAGATGTGGGCCTTCGCTCTCACCTTGCTAGAAAGAAGTCAACGGCAGGTTCTAAAGGATTCCTTTTTGGTGAGTCTTTTTGTCTTTTTGAAATTTTAGTTCTGGACGTTCACCATCCAGAACTGACTCTGAGTACGGAGGCCCATGTTAGACTGGCCATGACAGAGATTCTTCTACAGACAAACCCACCCCGAGCCTGCCAGAGAGCAACAGCCTAGGAAAGATAGTGCCAGGGAGAAGGAACAAGCAGAGGGCCACCTGCCCCAGGCTGCGCGCTGCCACCAGCTGGGGTTTCTGCGGAAGGTATCGGAGGGAGGGGATCCTTACCTGAAGATTTCTCAAGCAGGCGAGCCAGTGGCCAGCCCCGCCTACTTTCTGACTAGGTCACATCACCCACACTTACTCATGTCCCTAATTTTAACTCTTCCTGTTGCCGAGTGACGTTCCGATTCACAGTGACCCCACATGAGAGCGTGGAGCTGCCTCCTTGGCTTTTTTAAGCTATAGTCATTACAGGAGCACAGGCTGCCAGGTCTTCCCTCCATCAGAGCAGCTGTGTGGGGTCCAAAACAGCCAACCCTTCAATGACCAGCTGCTGCAGCCCTTGAACCACCAGGTGCCTGAGTTTTAATTAGGAAACCCAAATAACACTTTGCCTTTTCAAGTCAGAGTTACACCCCGACCAGACTTCTGAAGAATCCCAGAAAGGGGAGGGATTGAACTGAAAGGGATTCTTTCTAAAGTTCATCAGGACTGCCCCGCAGTCAGAGAGGTACACTTAAAACTTGAACTGTGAGGAGGCATGCTATCCTACAGACGCCAAGAAAACATTGAACACAGAGCCTTCCTGAGTAGCCACATAACATTACAAACTTGTCTCTCTCCGTCTAAGTATGACCGGTACATGAGAAAAAGAACTCTTTCTGCCGGGTGACGAGCACCAGAGCAAACGCTCCCTCCCATCCCAATGCAGGAGGCCACCTGGCCAGCGGGGCTGGCGCGCCTCATTACCTGGGGCTCCACTGGAGATGATGTTGGTATCTGATTGAGAGCGAGTGTGGCTCTTCTTTGTCCCACTGGGAACGGTGAGCGTCTGCCCCTCTGAGAAGCTGGACCTACGAAGGACACTAGACAGCTGTTTCTGCCCACTGCCCTCCTGGTCCCCTAGGGAGGACGTGGTGGACTCTGGCTTCTGGGAGCTGCTGGAGGAGAACAAATTGAGGCTGCTGCTCCCGGTGTTGCTGCTGTGACTCTGGCAGCTGGCGCTCCGGCTCCGGGGGTCCAGGTTGCCGATGGCCAGGTACTCGGGCCCCTCACTAGCATCACTCGGGGACTCATTCTGGCTGCTGGCCCAGGAGGCTTCGATGGGGCTGGTCAGAGGGCTGCTGCAGCTCATCTCCGGCGGGGACGAAGGGGAGTCCCTGGCTAATGCAGGGATCGAAAGCAGAGAGGCTTGAACAGCCTGACCCTCGGCTGGTGAGGCTTGTCCTCTGCTTTCTTGAGGTTTCCAGGAAGGGCCAGCGAGTGACGAGGAAGTCGATTTTCTCTCTAGGATATGAAAGGAACAGGAAGGGCAATGTGGGCTGGGATCCTGTGGCATGTGTGAAGCGCTCGTGCACAAACAAGCAAGCACCAAACTTCCATGGCTGCTGGACGGAACTCCAGGGACCACGGCCATGCACGGTGTCACCTTCCAAATGGTCAGGGAAATGAAAAAGCACTATTTAGAAGCAGCTAGGTTTCATAGATGGACTATTGGGACAGTGGCTTCATTGCTTATTGGTGTGCCTGCCTCATCTGTAAAATGAGCATAAATAATAATACCTACCTCACAGGACTGTTATGAGGACTGACGAGATAATATATAGAAATAGATTGAGGGCAACGAATGTACAAATGTGCTTTACACAATTGATGTGTGCATGGATTGTGATAAGAGTTGTGTGAGCCCCTACAGGGCAAGATATGACAAATAACAATTTACAAACTATCAAGGGCTCATGAGGGAGAGGGGAGCGGGGAGGGAGGAGAAAAATGAGGACCTAATGCAGGGGGCTTAAGTGGAGAGGAAATGTTTTGAGAATGATGAGGGCAATGAATGTACAATGTGCTTGACACCATTGATGCGTGCATGGATTGTGATAATAGTTGTATGAGCCCCTAATAGAATGATTTTTTAAATGATTAAAAAAAAGAGGACATGATCTGGAAAAGGAATAGCAGTCATCTTGTCACTATATTACATGGCATCAATGCATTTTGTGTATTTTAAATTAAAAAAAAAGAAAGAGATCATGACAGAACCTGGCACACACCAGGCACTCAGTAAATGTTGGCTATTATCATGTAAATGTCTTCTTGGCAATGTGGATTAGAAACCCAAGAGAATTTAAAAACATCTCTTTCCCTTGTTACGTAAATGAGTCTACTAAATTAATTTAGGTGAAGTGTTACAGAACTTTTTAAGACATCATCCTTAAGACCTAAGTTAAGATGAGCTGCCAAGCCAAGGCTCCATGCCCAGCCTGTGAGCACCCACAAAGGCTTCAGCATTCCTCCAGGGATACACGTAAAAGCCCCCTCCCGCCCCTCACCTGAGCCCTGGTTGAGCATGGATTGGTGGAGGCTGGAGAAGGACCCGAAGTAAGAATGATGGGCGTAGCTGGTTGGAGGGGTGTACGTAGAACCAGGCAGTGCCGTCAGGCTCTGGCTCTTTGTCACCAGCAGTGGGCTCTCATGCTTCCTGGCAAACTAGAAACCAAAGGAAGAAAGGGGGTATCAGCTTCACAGCGAGAGGCCCTCAGCGGAGGGGCCCTCAGCAGCGTTGGAGAGCAGTCAAAGCCTGAGGATACAGCACCTTGCTGCTGCTGTGGGTTCCTGCCACCAAGCTGATTTCCAGCTGATAGCAATCTCATGTGAGCGTGAAACTGCCCCATCAGGTTTTCTAGGCTATAATCTTGGCTCGATCAGAACTCACAGAGCTGCTGGGTGGGTTTGACCCAACCTTCCAGTTAGCAGCCAAAGGGCTTAAATAATAGGCTGCCGGGCTCCTTTCAGGGAGTGCCCAGTTCCCTCTAACACCACAGCTTCTGCTGTTGGCTGGAACCTTTCTGGGTGGCCGTGCAGGAGGGCTTTCAGGAGGGAGCACCGCACAGCGCTGAAGACTTCATGTGTGGAGTCATAAATTAGGCAAACGCCAAAGTGCTGAAGACGTCGTGTGCGGAGTCATAAATTACGCAGACACGGCCTCAAACCAGGCCGTCTCTTACAAGCTATTTGGCCCCAAACTTGGGCTCCTGACTGATCACTTCTGTGCCTCTGTGGTCTCCTTTGTCAAATGAGAGTAACGTCTACCTTTAAAAGTTGTGAGGTCCAGCCTATGCAATCACGAGGTGTCAAAAGGATCAGGTATAAGGCATCATCAGAACAAAATATCTTACCATAGTGAATGATGGGGGAGTGCAGAGTGGAGACCCAAAGCCCATTAGTAGGCCTTGCAGAGGGGTTTCGGGGAGGAGACAAGCCAGTCAGGGGGCGATATAGCAACGATGAAAAATACAACTTTCCTCTGGTTCCTAAATGTTTCCTCCCTGCTCCCACTATCATGACACGAATTCTACCTTGCAAGTCTGGCTAGACCAGAGGATGTACACTGGCACAGATAGGAACTGAAAATACAGGGAATCCAGGGCGGATGATCCCTTCAGGACCAGTGGTGAGAGTGGCGATACTGGGAGGGTAGAGGGAGAGTGGGTTGGAAAGAGGGAACTGATTACAAGGAACTATATGTGACCTCCTCCCTGGGGGACGGACAACAGAAAAGTGGGTGAAGGGAGACGTCGGACAGGGCAAGATATGACAAAATAATAATTTATAAATTATCAAGGGCTCATGAGGGAGGGGGGAGCAGAGAGGGAGGGGAAAAATGAGGACCTAATGCCGGGGGCTTAAGTGGAGAGGAAATGTTTTGAGAATGATGAGGGCAATGAATGTACAAATGCGCTTTACACAATTGATGTATGTATGGATTGTGATAAGAGTTGTATGAGCCCCTAATAAAATGATTTTTTTAAAAAGTTGTGAGGAATGGATAGATGGATGGATGGATGGATGACTATAAGAGCTGTAAGATGCCCCAATAAAATGATTTTTTTAAAAGTTGGGAGGATTAAATGAACTGGTACATGTATTGTGCACTGTACCCTTCTTGGCATATATAAAATATTCAATAGCAGAAGAACCAAATTCAAACAAGGAAAAGAGCTAGGGGAATCCCTTCTAAAAGGAGTAGGGAGAATGGGGGAGACGGCGGCAGGTCCGGGAGCGGGCAGGGGCGAGGAGGGGGGCACAGGGAGGTGCAAAAATAAAAAATAATAAAAGGTGTAGGGACTCCTACTGAGACACTGCTGAGAACAGGAGTGATGGGGTGAATGACTGGAGAGTTCATGATAAGCAACGTCAGGCAACAGCATTTTCTTTATACTGCAAGGACAAACACCAGACTGTGCAATACAGGGCAGGCCGGGTCTGACTCAGTGAGCCCTCCCTGTGCTTCCGAATCAGCCCTCTGCTCCCCAGCCTTCAGTCAAGTCTACCCTCAAGAAGGTGCTTTTTGTGTAGGGGAACTCAGGGTCCCCTTCCCAACAGACGGTATCTGCTCTGCTTCTCCAGGCATCTTTTTTCTTTCTTCTTCTTAATGAAAACCTTTAGCTTCCAGCGGACCACAAGCAGCAGCATAGCAAAGCCCAGAGGTCCTCTAGCGCCAGGCGGGCGTTCCCTTCCGCCTTACCATGGAGGCATCGATCTGCGCCAGGAGGCGGGGGTTGTTCTGTTCCACTGCTTCCAGGCACTGGAGCATGGCCGTGACGTGAGCGTTGCTTAGCAGGAACGCCGCATCTAGAGAGAGGAAAAACACCGATGTGATGGAGCCCTACGAGGTGATCTGAGCTGCCCTATAGTCCGGCCTGGAGGAGCGCAGGGAGGGCAAGAGGGCGAAGATGCAAGCCACTTGCAGAGAATCATGCCACCTGTGGTGGGCAAGGGCAAGGTGGGACAAATACAGTACAGGGAAGCCCCAAGAATATGCAGTACAGCAAGCAAGCCTTTGGGGTCAGAAAAGCCTAGAGGTGAACTGGAAACAGCATGCTGGCACCTTGTGACAAATGTAACTACTGTCACTAAACAGGCTGTACAGACATTGTCCCAGGGGAGCCTAATTAACTGTGTAAATGTTCACTAAAAGCACAATAAGACATTTCATCTGAATCCCCGTTCTACCAGTCATTATTCATCAGCCGTGTGACTTTGGCCAAGCCACCTGACCTCTTTGAGTTCTGTTTCACTGAATAGAAAATGAGGGTCAAAACACCCAATTCTCAGGGGTTTTGTAAATTTGGTAAAATTATGTATCAGTGATAGACACAGAGGAAACTTTCAATAAATGGTAGTTATACTTATTGGTTTGCATGTATTGGATGAGGCACAAAGCATGGATGTGGTTTTCATGGAAGGTGAGGGGAAAGACTGGATTTATGCCTCTAATCAGAAACTCGGGGACGTCCAGTGGCGGGAAGGGGCCCTTCAGGTGAGCTTGTGCAGAGGAACCGCGAGGTGAAGAGACTGCGCGAGCACGTGCAGCACTCCGGGCTCAGTGACTGACTTACCTGAGTAGAATTTTCTGACATACTGCCTGTCCCCGAGCAGCAGCCGGAGCTGGGCAGAGAGACAGTGGCACTGCAAGCTGTGCTGCAGCCACGCCTCCGCCACGGCACGCTCGCTCTGGCCGCGCTCGTGCAAGGTGATGAACTGCAGGCAAAGAGGCATGAATCAAAACATAAATCCTGGAAGCAGCAGCAAGATCGAGGCCTAATGGCCTGAGAATTAAACTGAGATGGGCGTGAATGGAGGTGGGGTGGGTATCAGAGGCATTTTTCCACCAGCGAGCATCTAGAAGCTACTGAGGGAGGAGAGGCAAGGAAGGGCTTCCAGGATGGTTGAACCACTGGTGAGGAACTAAATAGCTCAGACCTGAGACTCCAGGGGATGAGGAAGCCGCTAGATCTGGCTCTTTATGTTTTAATTCCAAAGAGGTGCTGTTCTGGTATATTTAAAGAAGGGTACCCAATAAAATGATTTTTAAAAAAGAAGGGTAAACTTGGCCTCTTTGCTTCTCTCACAGAGTCCTGGTGGCTGCCAGAAAGACTGTGACAAAATTTGGAGGGCAGTATCTTGGTGGGGGGAAATGTCACCAAAGGTTCTCCACCAAAGGGAAGCCATCTGAGCACCTCTGTTTGGTTCAAGCTACAGGGTTCTCTCTGTGGAATATGCGTCTACTCGGCTGTTTCTAAAAGCAAGGTCTTGTAGCTCAAGGTAAAAAGACACGTGAATGGCAATGCTAGTGTATGCGTGGCATTTCCTCGAGGAAATGCCTACAGAAACACAATTTATAAAAGGACACTCGCCAGAGGTTTGCTGGGAGGAATAAAGTAGAAAGGACAAAGAAATCCTCCACAGATCACTGGCCCCTGGTTTGTTCTCACAAAAGCAGGGCAATGTGACACGCAAGGATTTGGCTTCCTGATTATTCAGAAGCAAACTGGCATCATTTCAAGCAGCCCTGGTAGCGCATTGGGTTGAGCACTGGGCTGCCAAGCAGGTCAGACGTTCAAGTCCACCAGTCCCAGAAGCCCCCAGGAGCAGTTCTGCTCTGTGCAGCAGTGTCACTGTGGGCCAGAATCGATTTGATGGCAGTGGATTTGGTTTTGGTTTTTGAACATCATCTCAGCAATGACTCTGGCATAACATTAAATAAACCCAGCCGTGTAGTAACAGCTATTGAAAATGGTGGTGGCTATTTGAGGGTTCATGACATGATTCTAATTTTAGAGATATAAAGGGGCCTCAAAAATTTTCCACAAATTAAAGGAAAAAATCATAATAAAAAAGAAATGGGTAGTGGGGGCACAGGGCACCAACCCACCCAAGGAGAGGGTATTGTTTATACCTCCACAGGGAAGGAAGGACCAGACTTCAACCCAGTGCTCCAAGATGTGAATGAAACATGCCGGCGTGGAGTAGGGAACCAGTGGAGAGGTCTGGGGTTTGGCCCCAATCCCAAATACTAAGTGAACACCTCCCCTCCCCCCAGAAGAATTTTTTCAAAAGACGGCATTGAATCTGCAGCTCCAGGAGAGGGACATATCTGATCGGTGCACACGGTGCAGACAAAGGGGGAGGAGGAGAGAGTGGAGCACACCCTGGCCCACGAGGCCTGGAGGACGATGACCCCAATTAGAGCAGCCAGTCCACAGAGAGGACCACATGGCCAGCCCCACTATGAGACATGACGCCCCTCACTGACCCATAGCCTTACAGGGGACAACACTGGAGACGCAGTGTGGGAATTGCACTCGATCTGATCCCGCCACACGGAGGCAAAACACTAAGGGGGTGCAACAGAACAGCAAGGGCATGGAGCGGTGAGGTCCCCAGGGAATGCTGATGGAGGACTTTGGGGCCAGGGCATGGTACCTCAACAGACTGGACTGGAAAACCTAAAGGCCAACTGAAATTCCTAAAGGCCAACAAACGATCCTTGAACTAACTACAAGCTTTTCTTTCTTGTTGTGTTTTGTTTGAGTTTTTTTGTCATTGGTTTGTTGTTGTTGTTGCTGTTGTTGTTTTGTTTTATATGGTTGCTTGGTTTTGCTCTGTCT